TTGTCCCTTTGTGACTGAGATATTTCAGTCAGCATAATGTCCTCCAGGGTCACCCACTTTGAATAATATTGCATGAGTTCCTTGTTTTTCAGTGCAGCATAGTATTCCATTGTGTGGATATACCACAGCTTCTCTACCCATTTGTTTGTTGATGGGCCCTTAGGCTGCTTCCAACTCTTTGCTACTGTAAACATAAACATAGGTGTGCATAAAGTTTATTTTATATCACAACATGTTGTTGCTGTCAGGTGCTTTCGATTCAGCTATGAATAATAACAACACTATGAACAACAGATGGGAACCTTCCCTTGTCCTGTGCCATCTTTACGATCTCCAACGTGCTTGAGTCTACTGACAGTCACTCTGCCAGTCCATCTTGCTGAGGGGCTCCCGCTCTTACCCTGACCCTCCATCTTTCCCAGTTTTTTTCCGTGGTCTGGCCCCTCCTGACAACATGACCAAATTATGTGAGATAAAGTTCCCCCCATTTTGCCTCTAAAGAGCACCCCGGTTGGACTTCCTCCAAAACAGATTTATTTGTTCTTTCGGCAGTCCTTGGGATGTTGTTGTTGTTGTTGTTGTTGTTATGTGCCCTTGAGTCGCCTGCGACTCATAGCGACCCTATGTACAACAGCCCTAAACTCCGCTCTGTCCTGTGCCAATTGCACTGTCTCTGACACTCCCATCCCAATTATCCCAGTCACTGAATCAGTCCACCTCATAGAGGGCCTTCCTCTCCTGCGCCGTTCCTCCACCCTCCCAAGCATGATGTCCCTCTCTAAGGACCGGTCTCTCCTCACAACATGTCCAAAGTAAGTTAGACGGAGCCTCAGAATCCTTGCCTCCAAGGAGCCACCCGGTTTAACCCTCTCCAGGACAAATCTGTTTGTTTTCCTAGCAGTCCATGGTATTCTCAATACTCTTCTCCAGCACCACAGCTCAAAGTTATCAGTTCTCCTTCTATCCTCCTTGGTCATTGTCCAACTCTCTGATGCATAACAGGTGATTGTGAAGACCATGGCCTGTATCAGACGCACCTTAGTCTCCAGAGAGACACCACTGCTCTTCAGTACTTTGGAGAGGTCCCTAACAGCAGACTTTCCCATGGCAATGCGCCTTTTAATTTCCTGGCTGCTGGTGCCAAGACTGTTGACTATGGAGCCAAGCAAACTAAAGCTGTGTACAATCTCAATCTCTTCACCATCCATCCTGATGCTGCCAATTGGTCCAGTGGTGAGAATCTTTGTCTTCTTGACATTGAGCCTCAATCCATATTGTAGGCTGCAGTCCTTGACACTCTGCAGCAGGCGCTTCAGGTCCTCCTCAGTTTCAGCAAGCAGGGTTGTGTCATCCGCATAACGCAGATTGTTGATAAATCGTCCACCAATCTTGACCCCACATTTCTCCTCATAGAGCCCAGCCTCCCGGATAATCTGTTCTGCATATAGGTTGAAAAGGTATGGAGATAGGATGCATCCCTGGCGTACGCCCTTCCCAATTTTGAACCATGCAGGGTTCCCTTGCTCTCTTCTGACAACTGCCTCCTGGTCCAAGTATAAATTTCGCATTAGAACGATCAAGTGTTCTGGGATTCCCATTCTTCTCAGAGTCAGCCACAGTTTGTTACGATCTACATAGTCAAATGCCTTTGCATAGTCAATGAAACACAGATAGACATTCCTCTGGTATTCCCTGCTTTCAGCCAAGATCCATCTAACATCAGCTACAATATCTCTAGTACCACGACCCCTTCTGAAACCAGCCTGGATCTGGTAGTTCTCTGTTGATGTGCTGTTCCAGTCGTTTTTGGATAATCTTCAGTAAAATCTTGCTTGCATGTGAAATTGTTCTGTAGTTTCCACATTCGGTTGGGCCACCTTTCTTTGGCATAGGAACAAATATGGATAGTCAATATTTTTCTCCAACACCACAATTCAAACGTATTGATTTTTTATATTCCTTATTCACTGTCCAACTTTCAAATGCATAGGAAGCAATTGGGGGAAAAACCATGGCTTGGTAAGATGCATCTTAGTCTTTAAACTGACATCCTTGCTCTTTAGAACTTTGGATACATCCTTGACAGCCAATTTTCTCAATGCAACATTTCTTTGAATTTTTTGACTGTTGGTACCATGAGTGTTGATTTTTGGATCCAAGTAAAATAAAATCATTGAAAACTTCTTTTTGACAAGTCTTTTATCTATCATGATGTTGCCAATGGGGCTAGTGGTGAGGATTTTTGCTTTCTTGATGTTAAAATGTAAGCCATATTGAAGGCTGTACTCTTTAATCTTCTTCAGCAAGTATTTCAAGTCATCTTCACTTTTCAGCAAGCAAGGTTGTGTCATGTACGTGATGCAGGTTATCGATGAGTCTTCCTCCAGTCCTGATGCTACATTTTTCATATAGTCTAGCAGTTTGAATAATTGGCTCCACGTGCTGTTTGAATGGAGAGGGGATACAACCCTGATGCACACCTGTCCTCATTTTAAACTATGCGGGGTTTCCTTGTTCTGCTCAGACAACTTTTGTTTGGTGTTTTTTGGTGGCATTGTTGGTCGTTTTCTTGGTTTTTCTTAGTTTTTATTGACAGTATATGAAGCAGAACACACAGTTTCAACAAAATCTGGGTAGACTGAATTGTGACACTAAGTACACAACTGTAATTTGGTCTCTGTATAGGTTTTTCATGAGCACAATCCTGTTCTTCTCAGTGTTAGCCGTAATTTGTTAATATCCATCCAGTGATTTTGCATAGTCAATAAAAACACAAGCAAACATCTCTCTGGTATTTCTTTTTGCCTTCATCCAAAATCCATCTGATAGAAGCAATGATGTCATAATCTAGTGGAAAGGCTGTTTGATCTTTGTTGTGCATTTCTCTCATTTCATATAAAGCTTTTTGTCCTAAAATCAACTTCACTAAGTCAAGATCAGCAGCTCCTTAACGAGTGTGCTGCTAATCCAGAGGCTGTGTGTCCCCAGCAACCGGAATCCACCAGCTGGTCCTCCGGAAGATGGGCAGCGTCATCCCGTGGCCATTTACGGCCTGAGAGAGCCCGGTGGAAGGCACCTGTGAGCTAGAACCAGCTCAGTGGGCTTTGAGTTTTCTAGTAAAACTGTAACTTCTTTCTTGTCACTCGCCCGCCTTGCCATGGCTGGCCTTTCACGTTAGCCTAAGTCAGTTAGATTAGCCGTGTTTCCTGGGTATAGCTTGGGGTAGAATTCTGTTTTATGTTCAGCCTTAAATTTCAGTTCTTTTTTTTTTAATTATTATTTTTGTGTGTGCGTACCATCAAATCGGATCTGACCGATAAAGGAGGAGATTACCCCTCCTTCTCCAGCAGAGCATGTGGTGGATTCAAACCACACGCCTCTGGGATTGCAGTGCAGCTTCTTGCCGCCACCAGAGCTCCCTAAATTTCAGTTCTTTAATAGCAGTTGTCATCAAGCCACTTCTGAGTCATAGTAGCCCCATGAGAGGGTAGACCTGCCCCAGAGAGTTCCCAGAGCTGTGCGTCTTCATGGAAACAGGCTGCCACATTGTCTCCCAACAGGTGGTTGATAGATCCCAACCACTGACCTTCCACCTGGCCGCCTGAGCATTCAGCCACTCTACTGGGAGATACTTCTTTTAATAGGCAAATGTATGCCATTTACACTTACTGGCAAATACTTGAAATGGGCTTTTTGTTGTTGTTACAGTTATCTTTTTTTATTGCCTTTAAAAAAATTCCATCGTTTTAAAGTATTTTTTCAGTGGTTCATGTTGGTAGACTCTTCTCTTGCTTGTGTGTGTTTTCCTCTTACATGAGAAGTTCTTGATTTTATTTTTAGTTCTAATAGATATTTTTATAGCTATAATTTTATATATATTCTCTTTAAAGCAAATATCTATTGACTCCTCATTAGTAATGAAATTCTTCTATATTGCTATTTCTCACCTCTCTTACCTCACTTCTGTTTTCAAAATGTCGAGTGGTTATTAAGTTTTTATTTGATTTTTTATAATACGTTAGGTTCCCTTTCAGTCCTTTTTAACTCTTTCCATTTCATTTGCCTTACTTTTATTTCCCCATATATCCCTTGCCTGTCTGTGATACTCTTTTTACTTTTTTCTTTCTAGTTTTTTGTGTCTTTCACTTCTTTGATGAGTTTGTTTTTATTTTCATTTCTCTTTTTTAATTAATTTTAATAGACATTTACAGATGTTTTGGATTTCCATACATTCATTGCTGCACTTTTCTCCCTGCCCACCCCTCCCCACCAGTTCGCTCCCCTCTCCTAAAAGAAAAAGAAAAAATTCCTTCATTAGTATACAATTCCCCCATCCCTTCCCCCCCACCCCCCACCCTGAGTACACTTCTCTATGCAACCTTAATTCTGGATTCCTGTGCTAACCATAATACTCAATCATTTATCACCTCTAATCTGTTCTTTCCCTCATCTATTTCAATATAATATACATAATTTATCCTTGAAGCCAAAGTTACCAGACCCA